TCTCAAGAAATAAGGTATGGATGTGCACACAATACTTCCTCCACTTCATATGGCAGGGGGTCACCTGGTCTATCAGAATGTACCAGCTGTGGCGCTGTCACATAGCCGTGTTAGGGTTCTAAAAATACCTATTTCTTCCTGGAAGCTTGTTGCTGACCATCAACAGGCAGTTTGTTGAGTAAACTAGTTTGCAGACCATAATTGAAGAAGCACCAACCAAATAATAATGTTGACTGATTTAAGAAATATATTTGCCTGACAGAGGAGCCATCCTGTGTCACTGCAGAGCAGCACACCTGATCTCTCTTTTCCCATTCATTCCACCCTCAACTGAATGTAGCAATTGTTGTTGTTGTTTAGTCGTTTAGTCATGTCCGATTCTTCATGATCCCATGGACCACAGCACGCCAGGCCCTCCTGTCTTCCACTGCTTCCCGGAGTTGGGTCAAATTCATGCTGGTAGCTTTGATGACACTGTCCAACCATCTCATCCTCTGTCGTCCCCTTCTCCTCTAGCCTTCACACTTTCCCAACATCAGGGGCTTTTCCAAGGAGTCTTCTCTTCTCATGAGATGGCCAAAGTATTGGAGCCTCAGCTTCAGGAGAATGTAGCAATATCACCAGGCTAATAGGAGCATTCACGAAAGTGGCTTCAAAAGCCAGCAGGTAAAATAGTTCTCCCTAAGTGCTAGCTATCTGTTACTCTTGTGTTACAACCACTCACTTGCTGCAGCTGGCAGATTTTCGTTTCTGGCTTTCCTTTAGGTAGGCTGAAGGAAGAAGGCCTTTCATTGCTACCTTTTGGCAGGTGAGTTCCTCCTTGCATCTTGGACATAAATAAAAACCCCTTATCTTCTGAGGGGAGTGGCAGTGCATTTCTGTCAACAGCTTCTTTCCCAAGTACGAAACGCACCATAAGTCGGGTAATTTAAAATGAGGGCTCCAGTTTGAAAATCAAGAGGTTAACCATTCACATTCTGTGCCTGCACTAGTTGCAGTGTTTTGAACTGGATGTTTTATTCTGTATTGGATTGCGTTCGTAATTTTATGCTAGTGTCGGAAGAAGTACCCCTTTCTCTGTTTCTTGCGACCAATATGACAGGAACATCATTTTAAAGGGGAAACAGCACTCAAATAGTAATAATTACGTGGCGTTAACTCAGTACTGATTTACGGCGACCCCTTTCAGGGCTTTTAGCCGTTAGAAACAGCCTGTATTTTCCCCTCCCTTCGCAAAGCAGGGAGGCGCTGCTCAGCAAGGCAGGCAAACGGCGCGCAGCCGCTATATTCTCTCTCTCTCTCTCAGCCCTGTCGTTATTTGGCTCCTTACGTGCGCAGGGAAATCGTGTGAAGGCAAGGTTCCCAACCCAGATCCAACGCAGGGATCCTTCGTCCCGGTAAGCGGTTTCTCCCCAGATCTTTTTGCTCGGCTTCTCTCGCCCAGAGGCTGCGAGCCCGCGTTGCTGGCGGGCTTCCTGGGCAGAGAGGACGAGACCGCGGAGCCACACGCGTGGCTTCCTGAAGCCTCTTATGGCGGGAAGGCGCGGGTCTGGGGTGCCCGGGAGTTGCCTGGTGCGGGAGATCGGTTCCCGCGCGGGGTCAGGTGGCAGGCAGGGCAAGCCTCTAGCGTGAGGTGAAAAGCAGACGGACGCATGGAGGCGGCAAGCAGCGAGACGACGCGGGACGGGCTGGCCTCAGATTCCCGCCTTTCTCCAAACCCCTCTTCTTCTTCTTCCTCTTTTCCCTCTTGCAGAGCCGGGAGTCTGCCAACGCGCGGAGGAAGACCATCCAAGTCGAGGCTTGCCCCTGCTCGTTCACCCGCCGTCCCTCCCCTCAGCCGGATGCCGGGAACAAGAGAAAGGGAGCGATTGGGAGATTCCGTTTTAATACATTGACTTCAGCCTAGCATCGCCCCGTGTTGGTGCAGGAGACCCCGTCTGAACCCTAGGAATTAATCGGAACGCCTCCTCCCGTAAGGTAATGCCACCCAGCAGCAGCACTTGCCCCTGCTCGTTCACCCGCCGTCCCTCCCCTCAGCCGGATGCCGGGAACAAGAGAAAGGGAGCGATTGGGAGATTCCGTTTTAATACATTGACTTCAGCCTAGCATCGCCCCGTGTTGGTGCAGGAGACCCCGTCTGAACCCTAGGAATTAATCGGAACGCCTCCTCCCGTAAGGTAATGCCACCCAGCAGCAGCAGGACAGGAGNGCAGGCTCGGTGCGGACTCGCACGGAAAGCATAAGCCGGGAGAAGTCCTCGATCGTGCCTCCGGGGGAGGGCAGCGTGGATGCCGTCCAGGCGCGCTGCTCCGTTGGCTTCCCTTCCGTAGAGAATGTCTGGGTTCGGCGAAAAGGGAAGGGATGCTTTCCTGTCTCACATCCCATTCAGATGTTGCCGAACGGAGGAGGTGGATTCGTGCGGGGCCAGTTGAAGAAAAGTGCGGCTTGCTCGCGGTGTCGGAAAAAAGCAGAATCATGTGACATTTGAAAGATAGTACAAGTGTGTTGTGGAAGTAGCAAGTTAATCCGGAAAATGGTAGCGTGTTTTCTGTGGCTAGTTGAAATGTGCAACCAGCAGCATTGTTTTTCCCACCCCCCAAGAAACATACCACCTGCCCCCCCAGTTTTCAGATGTAGCACAAGTGAGGGCTGAGGATCATCGCTATGTGGCTATCCAATAGATGCCCACCGGATTTTGGCAAGATGTGGATGAGTTTGTCAGACTTTCACACTGACTCACAGGGAAGTGTTTATCACAGCAGAGTTGGGTGAACAAGTTCAGGGAAGTGTGTATCACAGCAGAGTTGGGTGAACAAGTTCATAAGTGACAATCATAGCTGTGTTTTATGCCTGTCTGAAAAAAAAGGTCAGGGCTAGGGTGGCGAGGGGGAAAAATGAATGCTGAGCAAAGCATGGACGCAATCCTGATTCATTCATGTTCCACTTTGCACAGTAGGCAAGAGGAGGGAGTGTGGTCCACCTCTTGCCAGTTTTGTTAGGACTGTATAATGTCATAGTGGAAGGTATAACATTACAAACTATGGGAAGGGAGTAAAGCTGCTGATTCACCTCTCTCTGCCCTGGAGTCTAGTGAAGTTTTAAATACTTGTAACCTGTGACATCTGTTCCATCCTGCTTTGTCTTGTTCCTCGCCTTTATATTATAAGTCCTTTCCTTTTTATGTGTGTCCATTGTCAAGAACAAAGCACATTGGTAGTTCTTTATAATTACTAGCACTCCTTGTGGAAGAGAGAAAGAGTTTGTGAATTCTCAGATTAGGATTAGTATGTAGCCTTTAGGAGGTTTCTGGTTTGCTTGGTTTTTCTGGAAAGAATGGGAAGTTTGGAGTGGTAATAAGGAATCCAGCCCTTATGGTAGATGTGTCCAGATTTTCGGTCTGAGAGCCTGCAGATGTTTTGTTCTTTCTATTCCCTCTCAATTGCGTTTCAGGCTGATTTTTCTATTTCTAATGTTTTATTCTTTTCAGTGGGGGTAAGATTATGGGGAAGGGAATTTAGGGTTTAGGGGGGTAGGTAAGCTGATTTCAGGGCATATGTGATATTTCTGTACTTCCCGAAACAGGAATATTTTAAGCTGTGTCTCAGGTAATGACCCAAGTCAGAAACTGATGGGAGTTAGTTTTGATTTGATCACTTTGATCATTGTGTCCAAGTAGTAAGAACTATTCTGCATGGTTCATCTGAAAGTTACTTCAAATGTTGGGTAGGTGTTGATAGGGCGATTCTGCTCGCAAAATGGCTTCCATCAGTGAAACTGGAAAAGGAATGACCCCTAACAAATTTCTGAGAAATCTTCATGTCTTTCCATTTCTCATTTGCCAGTATCTGAACCCCTTAATTTGCAATTCAGAACAAGAAACATGAAACCTCACAGTCTCACAGATACATACACCATGGAAGTGTGCTCAAATTCAGTAATAGATTGAATAAGGACCAATAAATTAAAGTTTAATCCTGACAGAACAGAAGTGATGTGGCTCAGTAGTTTCCTTGTTCAGGAAGATGGGGTCCAACTAGTTCTGGAGAGGGCTGCATATTTCCTATATCTTCTGAAATCTAAATAACTTCTATATAGTACCTTTTATCAGCAGCTGCAACTGGTGTGCCAGCTGTAACCTTAAATGGAAAGATGTCCTGTTTAGCTACAGTTATTCAGATCTTGAATAATACAGTGTTGCCTCGCAAGATGTTCCACAAGTCGTGTCGTATTGCGAAAATTTCATCTTGCAAAGTGTGGTACTAAAGGTTGTGCAATTTAAAACAAACAAAAGAAAAAAGAAAAAATCATCTCGTGAAGCACGGCCATAGAAAAATTTGTCCTGCGAATCACCCAAAAAATCGTGAAACACTTTTGTCTTGCAATTTTTTTGTTGCATGAGGCATTCGTCTTGCGAAACATTTTTGTCTTGCGATTTTTTTGTTGCGTGAGGCATTCGTCTTGCGAGGCATCACTGTATTTAGTCTGGGGCATCACAATGCATTGTATGCGACTTTGCCCTTGAACATGGTCGAAGTCTCAGTTAGTGAGTCTGGCGCATCACAATGCATTGTATGTGACTTTGACCTTGAACATGGTCGAAGTCTCAGTTAGTGCAAAACGTAGTGGTTAGAGTTTTACTGACAGTTAGCTTAGACAATTTGACCAAACTCCGGGAGGCAGTGGGAGACAGGAGGGCCTGGTGTGCTGTGGTCTATCGAGTCATGAAGAGTCGGACACAACTTAACAACTAAACAACAGGAAGCTTAGTGGTTTTCAGATAATTTCATTGTCTGCTAGTTTGCTTTCTGGCACAGTTCAGAGTGTAGATACTCCGGTTTATATAGACAAACAGCTTCTCAGAGCAAGATATTTGAAGTAGCCTCTTATATCAGCCTGGATAGCTCTTCAGGTCATTAGATGATGCCTCTCTCCAAGCACTACCTTTATCAGAGGCGAGACTTATGTCAATGAAGTAGAACCATTTGCAGAAGTGGTGTCCGCTGCAGAATACTTTCCCCAAGGAGGTGTGGTTCTGTGGAGAGGTCAGTTTAGGCTTCACTGGGTACAGAAGCATGCTCAGCGGTCAGGACCTTTTGCCTTCAAGATTTCTATTTACTCATCCATTTAAATATTTTAACACTTTCACTATGAATCATGCTTTTAGAGGTGACTTGTTTAATGTTTTTTTTTAATTCTGTTTCTTCTTTACTGTTGTAAGCTACCTTGAAATCATTAGGATAAAAGGAGGGCATAGAAAGTTTTTACAGATGATCAGATTGCCAGAGATAATTTGTGTGCACATTTTATGAGTGTGTCCAGTGTATATTTGCAAACTGTGTATGGTATGGGATACACCCATAAGCACAAACAGAAGTGACTGGGGCATCCTGTTGATAGAATACTTATTGCCAGTAGGTGAAACGGCTCAGTCAGAGAAAGTGAAATGTAAATGACTGAACCGAGATAAAGTTGCTTCCTACAGATTTCTCTAATAGAAATACACTACATGTTGCTGAATTAATAATTTATTCAGCTGTTTATTTGATTGCTATTTTTTTTCTTCTTAGAGTTAAAGAAAAGAAGACAGTTATTAGGAAATAAATGAAATAAATACAGCTTGAAGAAATAAAATAAATTAGTTAAAACTTCAAACATCTTTAAAGACTTTTAAAAACAAATGCATTTTAAAAAGGTTCTCTAAACCCCTTTTAAAAAAAGTATAACAACCAAGGTGAGCTGCCAAACCTCTGACTGAATGGCTGGTAGAGTGATAGCATGGGTGCAGAGATCTTCTCAGCTGGAAGAGAAGTTGACAGCCTGTGGGACGCGCTCTCTCTCCTGTCCCTACCAAATATGCCTCTGAGGATGGTGGATTAGAGAGTGTCTGTGGCCTCGCTCAAAAATCTCAGGGCCCAGGCAGTGAAAATCTAGTCATTTAGATGGCTTATATGTAAGCAAAAATGTGTCATTTAGATTGCTTGTACCCAGAATAGGGCTTCAATTTGTGCCGGTAAGCAGGCTGATGGCTAGTGAAGCTGTTCATAACAAAGGAATCAATCACATGTTCTCTGTAACTGGCCCTGGTCAACAGTCTGGCCACCTTGTTTTGAACCAGCTGAAATTTCCATATGCTATTCAAAGGCAGGCCCTTCTAGAACCATTGTGAAAGGATAGGATATAAGTGAAGTCTGCCTTGTTGCATCCAGATCCGGCATGTCCAGCTGGAGCACAGACTTTGGCTGTGCAAATGTGCTTGTAAACAGCTCCTGAGGTACCCTCCATGATACTGAGGTAGGATGTGGTCAAACAAAGGGATTTATTTAACTTGGAATTAACTTTCACAACTGGTAGAACATTTAACTCTAATTAACAAGTCCTAGCTCTTCAGGCTGGGTAGCTTACTTGGCCTTATCTGTCTCCTGAGGAGGGAGAATAAAGCCTTTGTCCTCCAGGAGACCCTCGTAGATGAAACAAGACAAGGGGCATGACAACAAGGGTAGTAGATGGCCACCATCAAACACCTTCCCACAGCGGCCTCCACAATCTCACCTTCTTTCTCCATTCGCTCCTCCACGGTTATAATAGAGTGTGCTGGACCATCCGTGGTGGAGATGGTGACCTCAGCCCATGGTCTCAGCAGTGGGATCCTGTCCAGACCACAGGGAGGTGAGGCAGGATTGATGTACGTGTTGGGACGTCAGTCAATAGGGTCCCAGGAGTCAGCAGCTTGTGAGGCCTTACTGAGACTGCCCTTCTCTCACCTACAACATGTATGGTGATGCCAGCCTTGCTTACAATGTTCTCTTTCCTTCCTAGTTAAGAGAATTTTTTTTTTGGCTGTTGCTGAAATAATAAGAGTTGTTTCAGGTTCATAGCTCAGAGTGTTAAGAGAATATATATATTTTTGGCTGTTGCTGAAATACTAAGAGTTGTTTCAGGTTCATAGCTCAGAGTCTGTCAAGGGAAGAAACTATTTTATGCCCATAAGGAGTATCAGAAAGCTGGATTATTAATATACTGTATGCAACACACTAAGAAGCCTTGCTGTCTATTTAAGCCCTTAGAAATGTATTAGAACTGGAAATTATGTACCGTATTTTTCTGTGTATAAGATGACCCAAAGTATAAGATGAACCCCCCCTTTTTCTGACCCCAAATTTTAAAAAGCAGGGATCAA